TCCTTGCAAAATATGGTCAAACTTAGAAATTAAATCTGGGCGCTCAAGCAAGAAAACCTCGGTTTAATTTCATGAGGAAAATGTACATTTTTAATTCGCATGTCATCAAGAATCCAGACAGTCTGGATCTTTATGGCAATGAACTACTAACCTTCCTGCTATCAGTGAATCAAATACCAACATAAAAAGTACAGAAAATAACATGTTTACTTAATTTTTTTTATGTAGAAAAATATATCTCTTGATGGCACTGAGATGCAAAAAGTTATTATACAAACACCATGAGACTCATGTTTGAAAATACCGACAGCAGGAACATCAGTGTGTCTGCTAACGGTGCACTGATATCCTGCAAATAAGCAGATTTGCTTCTCAGTGAGAAATATGCTTTCACCTTCTGAAAAAAATATATTTGTCACAGAATGTCAACTTATAGAGTTTACGTAATAACATGAAAACAGGTCAAAAATCAACTCATCACACATGCTGATCAAAGTTCCAGTGGTGACTAATGAAAGGCAGGGAAGGAGATATTCGTCTGCTAAAGAATTCTCATCCTTTAATATTTTTGCAAACTTTGCATTTGTTTTATGTGGATTTTATGTGATTATGCCCACACAGTGTAATGACTGTGAAGCGAAATTATAAATGGGTTTTGTGTCATGCTTTTCGTGATGCATCTTAAAATACAAATTGGACTGCAGTCACCGTAACTGAAAGAGAAAGTGGGAGAATCTGTCGACGAGAACATAAAACCTGCAATCTACAAATCTGACCTCGAGAAGAGAAGAGTCTCAGAAAGAAAGCCATTATGGAAAACGAGAGAAGAATCCATGTTTGCCGTCTGCCACAAGTCATTTTCCACAGGAGACGCTACTGGCAGAGATAACTTGATTATATGACGCAGCTGAAGCAAAGACGAGAAAAAGATTCTCAGAGAGACGAACGCAACCAAGTGGGCGTCTTTTTTACAGCAGATTTGTAGTTCTTAAAGCAGGACGAAGACGATTTTATTCTGCAGAAAACCACATACTGGGAATCTCTCCCTCTGACACGAAGTGTAATTCTAACAGTTCATGATGTAAGACTATGATGATTTCTTCTTGTAAACATTTTCTATTAAAATCCGTTGACATAAAAAAATTCTAAAAGTAAAACTGTAAAGGTACTTGAAGAGTTTTTTTTTTTCTTTCATTTTCCCAGGATACAACAAAAAGCATCAATTTCTATTGGGATTTAATCTGATGGACCAGCGCACCGTTGTAACGTTGAAGAAAAACATTGTTTTTAAGTTAAAATAGAAGTTTACAAAAACTTCTGGCACACCTGTAATCCAGCGAAGTCAACTGCCTTAAGATTAATAGTTAATACTAATTAACAGTGTCCACCAGTGTTTAAAATTAAATCTCAGAACAAATGGTGAGAACCATCAGCCGTCACACCTGAGGCGTACCGTCCATCAGCAGGGACAGGAAAGATGGAGTTGATGGGGCTCATTAATGGATAATGCTGGAAAAAAAAATCCAACAAAACACCAGAGAACTGGAAGAGGTTCACGTTTCAGCAGCAACCACAGCGACAGTGAAGTGGGTTAATTAAAGTCTAAATAATGTTTCACTTTCTGAAATGAGATCTTCCATTTGATCTTTTTATCAATTTTTCTCTCAATCTCATGGTCAGTATTAATTCAGTAGAGATTCTTTGCTATTTTTTTTGGACATTTTAGGGTCTCGGAGATCAAAAACCTAAATGAAGAATCAAACCGAGGTAGAAGAGCAAATGTTCTTTTTAACAACAGTTGAATTGCACTTAAAAATGAAAACCGATACACATTTTCTACCTATTAATGCTCACAATAAGTTTAAAGAAATAAGACAGAGACGCACAGGATTTAGTCAGGAAGGCTTTGCATAAATTTAACCTGGACAAGATTGGAAAGATTGCTCTTCTTTCTGCATGCTCTGATTATCGGAAACAAAGAAGAGAAGGGAGCAGCACTGGCAAACGCACGTCTCATGATGTTGTTAGAAACATGCCAAGATTTGGTAACACTTTATTTGAAGGGGGTTGAATAAGACTGACATGACACTGTCATAAACATGACATAACACCTGTCATGAAGATGAATAAGCCTTCATGAATATTTATGACTGCTCTCATAAAGCGTCATTCGGTAAATTATGACACTTTTAATACAAAGTTGACATTATTCAAAATGTCTTTATTATTACAACTTAACATTAACCAGGAAATCATTACTGATATAAATTTGTTCTAAAAGTATTACTGATTGCACTTTAAAAATTAGGTAACTTTGTTATTAAAGGTAAAGTTTGAACAGTAATTATTTCCTGGTTAATGTCAAGTTGTCATAACAAAGACATTTTGAATAATGTCAACTTTGTATTAAAAGTGTCATAATTTACCGAATGACGCTTTATGACAACAGTCATAAATATTCATAAAGACTTATTCATGTTCATGACAGGTGTTATGTCATGTTTACGACAGTGTCATGACAGTCTTATTCACCTCCTTCAAATAAAGTGTTACCGAAGATTTTGACGTTTTTTGTCTTTCGCTGAGAATGTCAAATCTAAGAATCCCCTTCGTCACTCGCAGTTTTGCAAAGATCGCAGCCAAATCCCTCCAAACATCCTCACAAGAAGAGCCGGAAACTCTGGTTTAATTGTGTATTTTCAGTAACGTTTACATCGTTGCAGTAGTGCTTCCATAAATCCGTTTATCAAAGATGTACAAAATTTTTACAAAAATAAATGTTTTTCACAATCTTTAAAAAAATATACACAATGATATCACTGCCTAACTGACCAAATTGATGATTAATCACCACAAACAGTATCACAATAAAATGACAAAAAAATATATATATAAAAAGACAAATTATTAGATTTTAAGAGCCCTTGTGTTTTGCAGATTAAGAAACAATCATATCATTTTAGAGTTCAGATATTTGTTCATTTGTCAACATATATTTCAACAATCATCACACTGTGCATAATATTACATACTGATTTATTCAGACAAAGTTATAACTATTGCAATAATCTTATTTTCAAAGTTCAGAGTTACGAATCAGATTCTACAAACTATTTGATACAAACTCCAAAAGAAATTTGTTTACACCAAACCACCGCTTTAAAAAAAAAAATTAAAAATTGAAGCACTTCACATGAAACACCTTCATGTAATGAATTATATATATATTTTTAATTAAAAGCAAACCTTTAAAGGTATCAAAAGACACCTCTCATTCCAAAAGTTCAAGTCAAGCAAATTAAAAGATTTGAATGCCCGTGCAAAGGTATTTGCAGCCTCATCGACTGCAGCAGCTCCAACTGAATCTGGATATTAATCGTAATCACACAGAAGCAGACAGGAGGATTCATAGTGGCCTGAAAGAGGATCCCATCTTCAGACCCCTTTACTTTTACTTTTTTTGGTCACAGTTAAGGTTTTTAAAAACAATGAAAGAAATCTTAAAGTCAGACAAAGGTCATCTATGTAAATTCAAAATACAGCTTTTAAGTTTAATAAGGAAAAAAAAACACTATAAAAATCAAGTGGGCCCAGTGTAAAAAAAAAAAAAATAATAATTGCATGATACCCCTTTACCCCATGGATGCTATTCAAAAGATGAGTGTGGCTTTTCAATGTGTTCTTGGAGAGATTTTGTTTACTGTGTTTGTGGATAAAAACTCACTGTGTCTCAAACTCCAGGTGTAGATCAGATGTCGTAAATCAGTTCCTTATCGTTTAATAAATCCTGCAGATTGGAGCATTATATGTCGGTTTGGGGATATTTCAGCCTACTTCATGTTGTCAGACGGGTTTGTTTAAGTGATTTCAAAGTTAATTCAAGTTGCAACAAGGGGGACAATCCCTTTTTCATACAGAGCCAAGTTGGTTGGATTAACTTTACTTATTAAATAAAACAATATTTCAAAACTACTTGCATTTAGTCAGATTGTCACCGTCTGATGATAAAATGTTTATAATGGATTTGAAACTTGTAAATGTGACAAAAAAAAAAAACATGAAATAAATCTGTAAGGTAAAAAAAAAAACTCTCAGCAATGTACAATGTACAGTTTGCTCTATGCTAACTGCGTCATGGACATAAATACTTAATATTTTACTGAGGCTGGTGTTTGGAGTTAACATATTTGCTGTTTGAAACAGAAACTGCTATCTGGCATTAGGTTGTCAGGTCAGGAGCTTCCAGGTAGAAACTGTTGGAATTGCAGACACGTCTACAGCAGCAGACTGAGGTGGCGTTTGACACCGACGCAGAGCAGCCATAAGTCTCTATAATATTCACTTAGTTCTTTGTTTTCCTTTGTTGCGTTGGCTGACTTTAAATATTCTGTTCTCCTCATAAACACAATCTGCATGCCCTACTTTCCAACCAAGCAGGTAGATATCAGGAAAGTGGAAATTAGACGACACAAGAAAAGAAAAACTCGTCTTTCTCTTGATATGAATTCCAGTCAGAGTGAGAAACTAATCCTTCGTTATGCAGGATCCAACAAAACACTTTCTCACGAGATTTTTCAAAACACTTTTAAGAGTGGAACATTTGAAAAAGTGCCCACTGTGTATATATATATATATATATATATATATATATATATATATACTGCTCAAAAAAATAAAGGGAACATTTCACTTTAATTTTGTGTGTGGCTCCAAATCCAGGCCTCCGTTGGTTAATAAATTTGATTTCCATTGATGATTTTTGTGTGATTTTGTTGTCAGCACATTCAACTTTGTACAGAACAAAGTATTCAATGAGAATATTTCATTCATTCAGATATAGGATGTGTTATTTGAGTGTTCCCTTTATTTTTTTGAGCAGTGTATATATATATATATATTTTTTAAACAAAGACATTAAGGTCCACTTTGCAAATGCACATTTTGGCTTTTAGTGCTCGAAATAAAATCAGTGCCATTTTTATGTTGTGTGTTTTTATTGTTTGTTTCAATTAAACTTCAAAGCACCTGCTAACCAACTGTTAAAATATGAATAAAAATTTGTACCTGTGAGTAAACAGATAAAAAAAAAGTGTCTTGATTTGATTAATAAAATATTTAAGCACAAAGTCATTTATGTGGTCTTTTGTGTGCAGAGGGCCAAATAAAAAGCTGTGGTGGACCGGATTTGGCCCCCAGGCCTTCAGTTTGATTAACAATAATGTCAACAAATGCTTTGAGCATTTTTCCTGTGTGTGTTCCTCTTATCCTAAAACATAAAAACTTTTCATAAAAAAATACATATTTTTAAAATCTTTTGATGTGACAATTTGGCTACTTGACAGTTGATGAAAGTGCTTTTTATGTTTAGCTTTGACCCATCTCTGCTCTAATAGAGCCTAAAGAATGTTAGACTGAGATAAAATGTTAAGCTTCCCAAAATAATAATAATTTAATAAAAAAATCAGCTACACCCTTAGCCGTGCTTTGGCTCCTCTTTGGAGTTTTAATGTATTAAAATAAATGCAAAATTAATATCTCGAGTAGGGCAACCAGTGTCTAAATACAAACATTTGGGTTACACAACTGATGACATATTTTCAGCTGATTAAAATATGTTAGAAAATTTCCCAGGTAAAGACAGGAAAAAGTTGTCCCGCATCAGACATCAAAGATGTCCGAGTTGGCAGCAGCACCCTTGAGCTTACACTAAATGCAAAACACTATTAGTATTCAAAACAGATATTTAAAAAGTGTGTTTTTTTTTTCCTTTAAATGGAAAAACATGGAGGTGATTACAGCTGATGACTGGACCAGTTGCCCGAGGGCTGCGGTGCAAATCCATCAGGGTTTTTGCTACTTTGATGAAGTGCAAATTCCTTCTTTTAAGATTCGGCTTGAGCTAAAACAGGTTGGAGATTTAGTTTTTTTTTTAACTTTTGCAATATTTCCAGCCATTTACTCAGTTTGTATGACAAGAAGGACGCACTAAAAGCAAATGTAAAATCATGTAAAAATAGTGCATGGAATGATTTATACAGAAACATTAAATAAACTTAAACGTCTCAGGTTTTGGTGTCAAATCTCGTCTCTGTTTCTCTCAGTTGAGACGTTGACAGTTTTCTACCACCATAAACAACAACAGCAGCAAACAAAGAACCAGTTCAGCTACATGTCTGCATTTTGAGCAAAAAAAAAAAAACAAAAAACCTCTGTCTCTTCCAGGTGCTTCACCACTGTACTCCCACAGATAAATGTATGCATCAAAAGTTTTTAGAGTTCAAGCAAAACACTGAATTATGAACAAAAAAAAAAAAACACATGAAGGGGTTACAGAAAAAAACAGCAGCAGCTCAAGTCCTGAAAAAAATATAGTGTTATGTTTAAAAAAAAAAACAGAACATTCTTAGTTACATCATATATATCTTTCTTCACAGTAGGCAATCGCTGAAGGTTAAAGCACTGAATAATCACACCCGCATTGTTAACCATATGGAGATGATTCGATGCATAAAGGTTTCATCAAACAATAATCAGAAAACACGGCCTCAAAGCACTGCTGTTGATCAAGTAGAGAAAATACATTCTTATAAGTGAGCACAGTCATTGTGCCCTGATGATAAAACCATTCGGGTTAAAAATGGAGCGACGTCTTTCAACATTCATACTGCATTAGTAGGAAATTAGTCCAGGATGATGGACAACAATAAATCATTATAACTGCATTTGTGTTGCTTAGGCACTTCTTTTAAATCATAAAAACATAATATATATATATATATAACTGATAAAATGTGTTCCCACTGATATGTCTTAATGGGGAGGCCACAGGTTTTAGAGTTCTAGTTCATCTCCCAGCTCTTTATTGTGCAAACCACTTGAGTTGTTTATTTTCTGGGAACACTAAATCACTTCATTGGAAGTAAAGCTCTATTGCTCTGATCAAAAAGACGCCCCCGTCTCTGCGTCAGAAGCTGGACTCGGGGACAGTCTTCTTGCGGCCCAGTGAGTTGGTGCTGTAGCGATTCCTCTGCAGAGTGCTGTGAGACTGTTTGTCTGAGGTCAGACGCTGTGCTGGCGTTGTGGACATCCCGTTACGATGCAAGGACGCCGTCCTGCGAATGCTTTGCTCTGCTTTGGTGGGGATGTTGAAGGAGCTCTGCGAGCGCCTGATGTCTGCCGTGGAGCGTCCCAACTTTCCGTTTGCCAATTCATCAGTCCGACGGCCTGAACTATTTGATTTGCTTCCTTCCACTCCAGTTCTTCCTCCAGCTGCTCCGTTAGGTAATGACATCCTGGACGAAGTCCTCCTGCCTTCCTCCTCGCCACCTTTTTTTCCTGACTCACCATCCTTGGACTTTTTAGAGTCCTTATCCTTCTTCAGGAAGTTGCCTTTCAGAAACGACAAGAGACTGTCTTGACTCTTGGGCACTTCATCTTTTGTTGTCTTTGACTTGTCTGCTTCAGAGCTGTGGTGATCCTTATTCGCTTTGTCTCCCTTCTGTCTTCTCAGAGTTCCATCCTGAAGGCTTGACATGCTGTAACTGGGACGAATTCCAGGGCTGGAACTCAGTTTTCTCTCTGAATCTTGTGAAGCTTTAGCAGAGCTCTCCCTCCTGCCCTCCTTCCTCCTGGAAAGGGTGTTGCTACCAGAGCTAGCGCTCATATTCCCTGAGCTCTCCTCGTTGGCCACGTTTTCCTTTTTCCGTCTCAGACTGGCCGTCTTCTCAGACGGTCGTTCTGATGGCCTTCTCTGTCCCTCTGGAACCTGAGTGTAATGCGGCTCTTCTTCCATCTTACCAACACAACTCATACTGCCAACAGCTGCAGATCGAACACTGGCTGCCCGACCCACAGAGGGTTTTTTGCTGCTACGCGACTCGTTCATCACGGTTACTATTGAATCCTTGGTGCACCGGGGTCGCCGACCAGACTCCAAGTACTCCACTAGCTCTGCAGGGTCGGGGTCTTGCGCTGGAGGAGACGCTTGCTCAGGTTTTCGTCTCTCTTTTGAACCGAGGGACCAGCGCAAAGGAAACCTTTTGCTCAGGCTCTCTTTTGGCTTGGAGGGAACTCTCATACTTACGCTGCGTCCCTGAAGCCCTCGCACAAACGGGCGGCTTTCAAAGCCACCTGATGATGATGAAAACAGGGAAGCGGTACAGAGTTAATATTCAAAAGCGTGACCTTGGGAAAAAAAAAAAGAAGTAAATACTGGAAGATTATAACTCACCCCTTTCTTCTTCAAAGTCTTTGTTGTGGAAGACGGGAGGCTCTGCAGAGTCTGATAAAGACGAGACGTTGTTGGAGGAAGGAGACACCAAGCTGCCTCTCTTACTCTCCCCTGTTAGTCTGATTAGCCAGTGGTCCGACACTGATGAACTTATGGATCCTAAGATCAGAGGAAAAAAAACAAACAAAATGATTATTACAATGATAAAGTACAACAAAAATAAAGGAATGTATGTAGAGAAAATAACATTACACTCAAATAGAAACTCAGAAAAAACCCAAGAGCAGTTAGAGGACAACTTTGTTATGACCAGTTTTCTCTGAGTTGGTCAGGCCTCTGGCAGCAGCATTTTGAATATGTACACTAGTCATTTTAACATTTAATAAAAAAAAAATGCTTTTGATGAAAGGGAAACGTTATTACATCAATGCATATCCAAGTCATTATGTGCCGTCCTACATTTTTAATTTCTCATACAGAGGGTATAAGTCTTATTACGAAAAACCATACAATATAGGAAGATTTTTTTTTCTTGAAATTAAAGTCAAAAGTATTTTTAAGACTTGAAAGTTTCTATAGAGATCAAAGAGGGAACGTGGCAACGAAAGGCTGGTAAGAAAATGCACTTTACTGACTTGTGTTTGAATATTTTGATAAAAACATACTTTGCCAGATTCACACAGGGGTCAGATGTTGCACTGCTCACAGCAACAGGGAAAAATGAAAAAAGGTAAATCTCAGTCTTTCCTACGATCCAAGGTTGATGCAAGATCCCTTTGCTGAATTAAAGCTTTCATTCTGCATTGAAGGCAGCCTGACAGTAGAGGTATGTGACTGGTTGTAGTTTAGCTTCATCTTTTCTGCTGACTGACAAAAACTACTGATCCTTGTTCCCTTGTTCAATGATGACCTGCAGTGACCTAAATCTCCAAGCAAACAGTCATTCTGGACAGCTGCTATTTGGCTTTAGCTTGTGCTCTGAAGACATTTTCTCTGCCCGTTTACGCGGCATATTTGAATAAATGTTTCACCAACGCTTTATTCAGCAGCTGCCATACTGGACCAGTTGGTTTCCTCTTTTATTACTAGATTATTCTCAAGGCTTTGTGTCACAAACTTTAACCCCTAATGCATTAGCCTGGTTAATTAGCGAAGTTTGTCACAGAAAACATTTGTTCATTTTAAGTACCTAATTTGAAGTGCATTTTGTAACAATTTGCAAAAATGTTCAAGCTCCTTCAACTTTTTCCACATTACAATCACAAATCTCAAAGCATTTGTTAGGATTTATTAGATGAACCAAAACAAAAAAAATCCCAAAAGGTGCTAAAAATCAACCTCCATTGAAGCTTCAGAAACTAGTATCTGAATATAACTTCCAGGCCCTAAAGTTGGTATTTTGGATTGTTAATACTGAGTCCATTTGTGACTCACATCAGTGATTTTGTGCAGTTGCATTCACTAACTGTGTTAATGAACATTTTTTTGTAATACATGCGTCTGTGTGAAGATGTTAAGTGTGTGAATTAGTTTTACTCCAAATATACTGGACTGGTACATTTTAATTTAAGGTGTCATAGCTTTTGTTTTGTATTTGTGAAAAAAAAACAAAAACTACAATAACAAAACTCCTGCGATATTTTACTCTCTGACCCAGTTACAAGGTACAAATAAACACCTTTGCATCAAATATACCTCTGTAGTTCAGATGCCAAGAAGCTGCAGCAGCTCACACAGCAGTTTCAATCAGGGAAACTATTTCCATAATATGATTGAGCCTAATTTGGTATCCAATCATTTTTCTTTTAGTACTCCGTCTCCAAAATTATACATTTTCAGAGATTTACAATTTGTCTTTTGTTCCACTGAGTGACACAGAAACTCTCAATCTATTTTAAAAGATTTTGACTGCAGAAAAAAAAAGACAGTTTTGTCATTTTTCTTTTGTGATATGAGAAGGTGCATGTGATTTCTAGCTGATCAAAGTTAGTGTTCAGGTTGATTTCTTTTTATAGAAAGCCATAATTTTAATTTAAAACAAGAGAAAAACCACATTTGAATGACAGCAGCCAAAAATGTTAAGATAAATTTAAAAAATAGAATAAAAACACCCAACATGACTGACACATTTCTGTCAAAACAGGCATGTCAATTATCTGTTTTACCAACAGACTTTTTTTCTTTACATCAAATGTCAAGGCATTGGTCATTGATAGTTTATTGTAAATGTCATAGGAATCAGAAAAGCACTGATCAATTCAAATCTTCCTATAACATTTGGATAATCAGAAGAACAATGAGAGGAGATGTTGATCTAGTTAGTTGTACCAATAAATGGTATTTCAGCAGCATGATGTATCAAATTGCTTTGGTTTTAAAGGTTAATCAATATGAAATTTATTTAAAAAACACTAAATGATCATTAAACCTTACAATGGAAAACTAATGTCATGAAAGACAACTAACTAGAGCTTATGGTCAGGTTTAAAGGTGGTAATTTATAAACCGAGAAGGCAAAGTTTAATTTTTGATTAAGAGTCGTTGCACTATTTCAATAATGAGATAAACATCTTTATTATTTACATAGTTAAGACATAAAGATGGATATTTAAGTAGACATAATTGAAAAAAATCCCTGAAAAACTGATTTTAAGAGTCTGCTAAACACAAAACTATTTTGACTACACACCAGTGTAGTGGCTGCAGGGTCACAGGAAGGCCAGGCGTTTCCTCCCATAGGTTTTCTCCAGGTAGCTTTTTGTCTGCCATACACTGGATATAAACACAAGCCCCTTATGGCACCGAGAAGAATTAATTAAGGATAAAAATGGATGAATTATGTATTTTTGTGCAGTAAGGGACCAGCGCCCTGTAGGTTTAATGCCATTCCTTTACTCTAAGGCACATGCGTCAAACTCAACGCTTTTTATGGGGCGCTCTAGACTCTAGGGAGACACAAAGATACAACTTTCAAGATAGCAGCTGCGCTCTAATCTGTTATTAATCAAATCTAAACCATTTTTATCTGTATAATGCCAAATTACATCATGTGAAAAGATGTTCAATATAGTTTAACTTTAAGAAGTACTCATCGAATGCAGAGATAACTATTTATTAATACTTTAATGGGTAGAGCTGTCACCACTGGCCCTTTGAGGACTTTCAGGATGTTGATGTGGACCAAAACACGGGTGGAGGATTATTGAATCACCCAATCTTAATCCCACTGTTGTAATATGCTACTGTGTTATTACACTTCATAAAACCTTAAAGGAAACTTGAGTGGTGTCAAATAAAAGTATCATTTTAAGGCAACACATGTAAACCCCTCTTCAGAGTTCAGTATTATTAAAGTGAAAAGATAAAATGTAATTCATCAGTAAAATTAAGCCGTTGTTGTTACTAAGGCATGATGTTTGACAAACAAGACAACCTGACTTAAATGGACACAAATACCAGCTTTTACATATCCTCACTGATCTTCAAACATACAAATACTTTATGAACCTGTGTAATCTGCCATTTCAGATGGCCAAACTCCTGCTCATAAGCTAACACACTCCTACTGGGTTTAGTCCTTGGTTGTTAATGGGGCATCACTATATTCTTGTATTAGTCATTTTACAAAATACCTTTCAGAATCGTTTGTGCTTTCTAAAGCTGCATGCCAGAGCTGTATGCCTGACAAAGATGCCATTATGAAGCTGTGCACTTGCTTGAAAAATCATTGTTCAAACAAGAACATAATGCTGCCAGAAATACCTCCTGATGACTTGCAACCTTCAACAAACAGCACTCCTATAGAAAAGGCTGCAGGAAAATGTTGAGCAGTTGCTGGCAACAAATGACTAACCTTCAGACTAAAACATAAAACGTTTTCACTGTTCAAATTTGGTAATCAGTGATTTAACATCCATCCATCTCTTCAGCGGCTGACTTGGATTATTATTATTATTATTTTTTAGATTATTTGTAAATGCTATTTGATTCTTGTTAGGTCTAAAACTTTTTCCATCACTGTGAGGGAAAATACCGTATTTTTCGGACTATAAGCCGCTGCTTTTCCTTTTCTTATAGTAAGGTGCGCTCCATAGTCCGAAAAATACGGTATTTTCATTTTCACCGTTAACGTTTCTCTTTTATAAAGTGTTCATGGCAAATGGATTGGCAAAGAACTTTAAATTACTTTTTGTGAGAACAGAAAATTAGAATAGCAAACAGGTTAAATTTGGTAATTTACAAAGAGGATACAAGAGTCAGCAGACATCCCAGAGTCTCTTTCTAATAGCTGAGGTTTTTAACTCGGACGAGGAAACTGAGGGGGCTTCCATCTTCCTGAAAGTAGTGGTGTGAACTCTGTGCCAGTTACCATGGTGACCAACTCTGTGAACCCGATCTACCCGCCTGCAGAGTTACATCAACTAAATGTTAAATTCCTCCACATAGAGCCCAAGATGCATCATTTCATTCCCTCTGTCACTTCGACTTGAAAGCAGTAGCTGTCAATGGGGAAGCAAACCGAACTGAAATTCCTGGGTACAAAACCACTTTTCTACGGAAGCAATAATTATATTAATCAGCACCAACTGGTTAAATAAAATATCTTAAGGAAGCTTTTTATACAAAAAAAAAAAGTGACATGGATTATAAAAGACTCCATGGTTTGGTGGCAGCGTTCACATCAGTGCAGATTAACTTAATTGACTTTAGCATAATAAAGTTGAAAAAAATGCTTACAGATTTCTTCTGGTTTTGCTTTTTGTTCCACTTAAATGTTTAAGATTATCAGAAACTCCAATATGAGGCGAATATAACCTCAAGAAATAGAACAGTTTTCAAATTATGATTTTATCATTAAGGGTAAAATGATGAAAACACTATTTGAAAAAGTAATTGCCTCCTTACAGCAACAGCTAGCATAGAGTGTTTGTAACTACACAGTATTTTATGTTGTAATTCTGCCTTTACTGTACATGTTGTTCTTAATTCAGTTTTTTTTTTGTTCTGTTATTTTTACTTTTGTGTGTATCTGCATGCCTCGATCGCCTGTCACTTTGCTGTTGTTTCATTTTGGCTATTTCTGTTCTAGTTTTCCTCCAACAGTCATGAACAAGTTTGTTGCACAATTATCTGTAAACCTGTCCAGTTTTAACAAGTTT